CTGCTTTCTTATGCAACACAGGCCCACCTGCCCAGGGGTGGCACCACCCACAGTGGGCTGGGCCCTCCCACATCACTCATCAAGAAGATGCCCTTCAGACATGGCCACAGGCCAGTCCAATAGAGGCAATTTCCCAATTGAGGCTCCCTCAACCCAGGTGTGTCAAGTTGACACTAAAGCTATCCAGCACAAAGGTCTATATTATCTTAGGAAACAGCTGTAGAAGAAACCAGCCTGAGGTGTGCAGGACACAGAAAGAATACAAACCTGTAAGTGTATAGCAGGATCAACCCTTGCCTGAAGCCTGTCTGTCCTCTGGTATGTTTCTCTTCCATAATGCTAGTCTGAATGGATTTTCTAGTACTTGTGACTCAGAAAAGAAAAATGAAATAATGTTCACAATAACCCTGCAGACCCTTTCAACGCTGCTGAGGGTTTACAGGGACTCCTGCCTTTCAGCACCTGGGAGAAAACACAGACTTTCTTTCCAAAGCTAACATTTTCTGTCTCCAGAAACTGGTTCCTCTACACCCTCCTCTGTGCCTCTGATCCCTTCTGCTGATGAATTCCTTCTTCCCACCTTCAGTATATCCTCAGGAACCCCACCATCAAAGCTCCCTGGGCCCTCTGGAGCTAAGAGGCCCCTACTTTCTCTTCTCTGGGTCCTCCAAAAGCCATCGTCCCTCCTGCTGCTTGCAGTCGGGCAGGGGTAGACCCAGCAAGGCCTCCTTGCCAGGTGGACTTTCCCAAAGAGCTTGTGACCCTGTCCCTGCTGTGGGTTCGAGGTAAAGTGTGCCCTGGCTCCCGGGTTCAGGCAGTAAGCTTTGGGGCCTAACAGGTTCTCTTGACTCTGTTGAAAACAGGAGTTGCCCTGTACCAGCTTGATCCTGCAGATCAGGTGGTGCCTCAGCCTGAATCCCACGGCACTGGGAAGGGTTGGGGTAATGGAGGAGGATCCCTCAGGGACTAGGGACCTGGGCCAGGGGAACTGACCCACAGTAAGAAACAGGAGAAGCCTCCCAGTGACAGAAGAGCCAGCCAGAGCTCCAGCCCGCACTCCAGCCCTCAGGCAGAGGTCTCTGTTTTGGAAGCCTTGGAGCAAAGCTTTCTAGCTCTTCATTTTCTGAGTGCGTTCTTGCTGCTCCTGTGGATCAAGTCTGGTTCCCAGAGGAAATTTCAGACCAATGTGAAGGCCAAGCTTCAGACCACAAGGAAAAGGTGTCTTTCTCCAGCCAGATCTTTAAAGCAGGGTGAGGAAGCAGAAGAGGAATCCCAGGAGCATCTGACACAATGTCAAAGTCAGAGGTCAGGTCACTTTCCCAGCCCAAATCTCTCACCTAAGTGATAGTCCTGAAAGGAAGGGGGAGGGTTGTCTAAGTAGGACAGGAGCAGAGGAAAAGTGCTGTAGGGGAGAGTGGCAGGAGGTGCTTTGTCCAAGCCTCAAACCCTTTTGCCCCAGTGCTTCTGCCTCCAGAAAGCTAACCCAGGAATGGTACACACCCCCAGCACCCTGATCTCTGTTGATACCCCCAACCCCATACACAACCACCTGACTCAGAGACTGTAGACACAAAATGCATGTTCGTTAATTCTGTCTGCTTTAATCTGAAATGCCTAAGAGGCTCATCCAAAAGGGGATCAGGATGTCAGGACGAGGGAGAAAGAGATGGTGAAAGAGGGGTGATCTCAGGAACTTGGGAGCATGTGAAGGACCACTAGGCCCTGGAGGCGTGGAGGAGTGGCCAATCCCCCGGCTGGGAGGCAGTCCGCGCCCCTTTCTTCAACGTAGATGGTCCTCAGCTGAAGGGTTTCACCAGCTTCATGGCAGCGTAGTTCTAGGAGGGAGGAGGCAGGGACAGAAGTCATGAGCCCTTCAGAGCAGGTGAAGCCCCAGTTGCTACTTTGGGGCTAGGGGTGGAACTGCAGGTAGAAAGCTGGCCTTCTGGCTCTTCACCATCTGCCGGCACCCCACCTTTGCCACCTACCAACCCATGCCAGGCTCCTCGCTCCACCCTCGTGGTACTTCTGCCCATCAAGCAAAATTCAAATCACCCCCCCACCTGGAGCACTGTTGCCCAAACTGCCCTATCTTCCCTCCCACAATCCAAGGGCCACTTCCTTGTGCCAACCAGCTGCCAAGAGGATTCTGTTGGCTGAGGGTCTAGCAGGGGAAGTCTGCCCTGGACACTTCCAGGAGCCAAGGGCAGGGCCATGATTCCCTTACTCCCACCCTCATGCACACATGGGGCTCACCCATCACCAAGCCTCTGTACAGAAAGCTGGAGAGAGTGAGGTGGGTGTGTGGAACAATGGGTAACAGGGCCAGCACCAGATACAGGTCCCCTCCAGGAAGCTCTTCCTGGTGCAGTCCTGATAGGAGTCTCCCCTCCCCACTGCCCCTTCCAAACACAACACAACATAGGGCTCCTAATTGGGACAGTATGTTCTCCGGTGCTGGCGTGGAAAGCCAACCCTGGAAACAAAGCTGGCCCTCCTTCCCCACCAAATCGCTTCCTCTGCCCCATACTGGCCCTGCTCCCAGCAGTCTCTGAGGGGCCAAAGGAATCAGACAGTAGCCCTTGCTCCTCCTAGGGGGCTCTTCAAGATAGTGGGGGCGGGTGAGCCAACTTTGGGTCCCCTGCACTGGGCAGGTTGGGGGTAGCTGGAATAAGCCCTCCAACCAAGCCTGAAAGCAGGTGCATGGACAGGCCCAGTCCTCAGGTGAAACAGGCCAGGTGACTAGGGATCTGGGCTGTAGTCAGGCCTGCAAGCAGAAGTCTGCAGCCATAATCCTGCTGAACCCTAGAGCCTGGAGCCCTGACCTGATCCACAAAATGCTCTTGGTTGAGAGAAGGCGGGGTCAGCATATAAAGAGGACACTTTCCAGAACTGAAAGGAGAGTAACACTGCTGCTGCTGGGGCCCAGTCACCAGGGGAGAGTCTGCCCAGGACTCACCAGCGGCCCATAGAGACAAGGAAGGTACATGAGCTGGAAGGAACTGCAGTCTCTCTTCTCTCCCAGCTGCAGCCCTGAAACCCTGGTCAGCCTCACAGGGCTAGGCCTAGCCTATCCTGAGCCAACTCAGGCTCTACATTCCAGAAGTTTACTAGTGGCGCTGTTACTGCTGATCCTTGGGCCACATCTGGAGGAGCAGAGCATGTGCCATCCCTGTGTTCTAACAACTCAGCCTGAATCTTTATAGTGTCTTTATTCTCCGGGGCACCTACCTCATCACCTCCTCCCTCATGGCCCCCAGGCCCTCCCTTTCTGGACACGGACACGCTTGCTTAATCAAACCTCTTCATTCACTGAGCAGCAGCCAGCCACACCAAGTGAGAGGAGGTGACTTGAGCCAGGCCAGGAGATGGGGCTGTGCTCCCATCCCCTCTCCACAGCCCTAGTTGGTCCAACTGCCAGGTATTGCTCTAGATCCCAATCACTTCTGGTAGCAACTCAGACTACAAGACATTATCCTTTCAAGACCCCTCCATAGGCTTGTCTCTAACTTTGTATTTAGTAACTTGTCTTCCTTTCCTTAAAGTAGCCTTGATGTGGTACAAACTTCAGCCCTCACATCCTGGAACCCACCCAGGACCCCAGTCAGGTTTGGCCAGTTGACTTCAGCTCTTCCTGTTGAGCCCAGCAAATATCCCAGCAGGCACCAGGTGGTTGTAACCAGCACAGAGAGCCTGGCCAGCAGCCCCGGTCATCATTCATTCCCATTCTAGGTTCTTGTCACTGTGACCCCAGGGGCAGCTGGAGCCTAAACAGGCAAACCAGGAAGTCTCCTTTTCTGCTCTTCCTGGTTTGTGCAGGCTGGGCTGTGCAGGGCAGTTTGCCATCTTGACTCTTCCTTCTAGGAGGCAATAGGCACTGACCAGATAGCCCAGGGCCTGGCTCTCACTGGAAGAGGGTTCTCTAACCATTTCTCCTTCCTGCAGGGGTCCCAAAGCAGACAGCTCACTTAGGAGTAAGTCCCCAGGCAGTTTGCCTGGTCTGGGATGGTGGTCAAGAGGTAGCGAGGACCCAGTAATAGCTGCAGCAAGCCACAGGTGGGAACTACATCCAAATGCAGCCTAGAGCAAGTCCCTTGCCCACTCTGGGCATTTGTCCCACCTAAGCCCTGATTTCAGCAGTCTTTCGACCTCTATGTAGCTCTGAAGTGTTCGTATTACACGTTTGGGGGCTAGAGAGTGGCACAGTGATTAAGAGCACATACTACTCTTGTAACATCCATGTTGGCCGGCTCACAACCACCTGTAAGTCCAGCCCCAAGGGATCCAACACCTTCCTTTGGCCCCCATGGGTACCCGCACACATGTGGCACACACACATAAATAAAGTTAAAACAAAACTTTAAAAATAAATAAATTTTTGTGCTTTTCTCCAATCTAAAAAGAACATGAAGGACTGGAGAGATGGCTCAGCAGTTAAGAGCACTGACCACTCTTGTAGAGGACCCAGTTTCAGTTCCCAGCTATGCACATGCAGGCAATGTGCTCACACACATACAATAAATAAAATATTAAAAATAAACAAAACAAAAAAATAAAAAGAACATGAATAACTTAAGTGACAGCCTGACAGCTAACAATACTCTAGCACCTTCAAGGTCTGATGACCCAGAGTTACTGAAGGGCTCAGGCATTTTCAGGAACTTCTTGGGAACTCTGAAAGCCACAGACAGAGGCAGGGGACAGGGGCTTGCACCCTCGTACCACAGGCAAAGCTCCAGGAAGCTAAGGACACAGCAACCCTGGTCTGTGTAGGCCTGGTGGCTCTTTGCCAGTGTCAGCTGGCTCCTTACCAGATGACAGGGACCCTAAGTGTGCATCCTGTCAGTCGGGGCTCCTGGGTCAGCCCCTACTCATTCCCACCTGATACAGGAAGCAGGACATACCTTTCTAAGGTCCTGGGGAACCTAGCAAGAGCTATTCTCAAAGCAGTGAGGCTGACTTCTGTTCTGCTACCTTGTACTTCCCTTCCAAGTCCAAGTTCCACACCATCCTGCCACCAGGCCCAGGAGCCTCTTCTTGTATAACTGTTTCCTCCAAACTCATTTGGTTAAGACTTGGGAGGTAAACAAACTTTACAAGTCTCTTAAGGAGCCCTGAAACGTACAAGAATCACAAGTTCCCCAAATATCATATAAGTAGTAAGCAATCACTGGGGAGAGGAGACTCTCCAACCAGCAAAGCTGCCCACAAGTCAAGCAGGAAGCACCAGGGATGCAGCTTTCAGGGGTCATCACCCATGTGGGAAGGGCTTTTCAGTGCTACAGCTGCCTCTGAGTCACCTATGCTCCTGTAAGTGACCACAGTCAACTCACTAGTTCAACAAGGAAGACGGGTGGAATCATTTTTGATCTGTTGTCAATACCCTATCTTAGGCAAAGAGACATTTGTTCACATCTCTGCAAGAAAAGTCACACAACCCTCCCCTTCTACCAATCCTTTGATTCCCCATGCTAGAGGCTTGCTTAGTAGGCAAGGGCTCCCCAGGGGCAAGTCCTACCAGAGTGGAGATACCTGAAGGGGGGGGGGTTGACTGTCTTCAGACTGGGATAGCACATGGAGAACAAGGGGCTCCCTAAAGTCAGTGTCCCCCTGATCAGGCCCACTCACCGGAAAGGCATAGACAAAGATACCCAGGAAGAGCAGGAGGATGAAGAGGATGATGAAGAGGATGATGGTACACCGGAAACGTCGCCACAGGATGAACTTCATAGTCTTGTATGGGGAGGTGAACCACAGGAAGGAAGTGTCAGGGCGCCTGGAAGCAAGATCCCAGGGGTCAGTAGGGCTCCCCATGTAGGACCACTTCCTCTGTGCCCTGCTTTCAACTGGGACAGCAGGTCCAATAGCCTCACCCTCCACCATGTATTTATTGGTTTGGGTTTTGGTTTTTAGACAGGATTTTGCTATATAGTCAAGGCTGAACTGAAACCCATTATCCTGCTGCCCTGTATGCCTCAGTCTCCCAAGCCCTTGGATACAGGGTGCATCCCTGTGCATGGCTCTGAGCCTGATTTACCAACTAACTGAGGAGCTGAGCATTCCCTGAGATGGTATGACAGTCGCCTGAGTCTCTTTGAGCCATGAGGAACTTGTGGTGTCTGCATGGCCAAGCACTGGATGCCTACTGAATGTTGATGACCTCCTTCCTGGGACAATCGACTAACCTTGGTTCCTCTAGCTTTGGATTCATGTTGGGTTCATCCCGGCCTTGGCCAGCAGGTCGTTCCTCATGTTCACTCTCAGCAACAATCTCCAATGTCATTTCTAGCTTGCCCTGTGGAGATGGATGGGGCCTGATTAAGGCCTCTGACCAGTAACCTGGAGGGGAGTTGGGCCAGGGCAAATGGAAGGGCCATGTTACTATTATTATTTTAAAAGATGTAGGGTTTTTCTCACCACAAAAGCATTCAGAAACTACAGAACTATATGAAGAAAGGGTGATCACCCCACTTCTGTGTCAAGACAAAGTGTTCCCAGGACACCTACTCATCAGAGCTGAAAGTGTGTGAATTTCCACCCTCCATGTGTTGTTTTGCACTTTGCTTTTCCATTTCGGAATACATTTCACTGTATAATTATATACCCTTTAATGTTTTTAACGACTGTAAAACATCCCATGGTTGGTTGACCATAATTTATTTAGTAACTACTTTTTTGGGTTCATTTACATTGTTTCCAACTCTTTAAAATGGATAAATAATACTGCAACAAATATCCCAGAACCTAAATTTTTTATTTTATCTGGTTATTTCTTGAGAAGAGAGTTTAGAAATGGATGGCAGAGTCCAAAGGCATAAATGTTGTTAAATCCTGCACTGCATGGTACCAAATTGTTTCCCCACATAGAGAAATCATGGTCTCCCCCAGCAGAAGGAAGTAAGGTCTGTCTCTAGAAACTTCACTAGTCATGAATATTTCTATTTTTAAAAAATACAATTTAATAAATCAAAAAAGCATATGTTAAAATGGTCCTTTACCAGAGGGAATAATCCTCTTTTCATGTTTAATAAGAATCTGTGCGTCTGTGAATTATATGTGTACATATTTCATTGGATGGTCTCTGAGAGGGTCCTGCTCAAACGTTCAAGAGGCACAGCCTCTGTCCATCCAGTGGGAGGCCCCAATCACAGGGACACTCGGGACTGATCTCTGTAAAGCCATGATTCCTCTTAAACAGGCCTCCTCTGCAATGGGAGCCTCAAGAAGGAGGAGGGCTCGATTGAAAAGAGGGGAACACCTAGAAAATAGTGAGAGAGAAAGATAGAGAAAGAAAAGAAGTTGGGAGATATTCCGTCTGTAAAGAGCCTGTCATTTCAAGCATGAGGCCTGAGCTCAGTCCCCAGAACCCACATCAAAAAGCCAGGCACCGTGATGTGACTGAAATCCTAGTACTCAAGAGGCAGAGAACCCACTGGACTCGCTGACCAGATAGCCTAGCCTGATCAGTGAGCTCCAGGTCAGTGAGAGACCCTTGTCTGAAAAAACATATGGACAGCTCCTGAGAATCAACAGCCTACACACACACACACACACACACACACACACACACACACACACACACACACACACAAATAAAAAAGAGACAGAGTGCGCGCGTATCTGCTCTCTGCGCCGTCTCTCTCTCTTTCTCTTTCTCTCTCTCTCACACACAACACACACACACACACACACACACACACACACACACACACACACACAAATGAAGAAGAGGAACAGTGGGCATGCATGTGCTCTCTGAGCCCTCCACCAGGCTGGACAGAACAGACTCACCGCCAAGACCTTCTTCTCGCCCTCTTCTGTTACACATGGCCACCAACCCTTTACTGTCTTCTGCTCAAAGAGGGACACAAACCATTCAGGGTGAAAAGTATCATCCAGTTGGTCCAAGGAGCACTTCTCGGCCGTCTTGGCTGGCTTAGGCATGCGGTTGAGATCGAGCTGCAGGGAGCCTATGGGAGAGGGGTGCTTTTAGAGGGTGCTTCAATCACTGTCTGCCTAGGGCCTCCTGTCGCCTCCTCAGTTTGTATTCCCTGTTCAGGCAAGTCCACTGCACCCACTCCCCAGCTCCCACCAGCAGTCTGTTGCTCCTTCAGCACCTCTTCCTCTCACCTACTCACACATCTGTATATAACCTACCCACCCTATTTCCTCACTCAGAGCAAAGCTATCCACCACCACAATGCATCTAACTGTTCTAACGCTTTACACACCCATGGCCTTGAGATACCTATCCATCAATTTGCTAAAATAATTTTTATTACAGTAAAATATATATAAAACTTAACTTCTAGGCTGGAGAAATGGCTCAGAGGTTGAGAGCACTAGTTGTCCCTGCAGAGGACCCAGGTTTTATTCCCAGTACCCACATGGTGGCTAAAAACCATCTGTAACTCCAGTTCCACGGGATCCAATGCCCTCTTCTAACCTCCACAGACATGGCACGACATGGATGCACCTACCCACATATAGGCAATACAGTCATACACATAAAATTAATTATAATAGGCTGGGCATGGTGGTGCACGCCTTTAGTTCTAGCACTTGGGAGGCAAAGGCAGGCGGATCTTTATGAGTTCAAGGTCTGCCTCGTCTACATAGTGAGTTCAGGTCAGCTGGGACTACAGGGAGACCCTGTCTCAAAAAGACAAAAAAATTAATAATAATAATAATAATAGTAGTAATAAAAACTTAACATCTTAGCCATTTGGGGGGTTGTGTGGGTGAGTGTATATGTGCATGCATATACCCATGTATGTGGCAGTCAAAAGTTGATGTCAGGTGTCTTCCTTAGTCTTTCTGTATCGTATTTTTTGAGACAGTGTCTCTCATTGAACCTGGAGTTCACAGATTTGACTGGTCAGCAAGTTCCAGGGGTCTACCTACCACCCCAGCACTGGAATTACAAACATATGCCACTACACCCAGTTTTCAGGTAGATGCTAGAGATCTAAATTCAGATCCTAATGCTTTCAAGGCAAGCATTTTACTGACTGAGCCATTTTCCCAGTCCCCCCCACCCCCACGATTTTAAGTGTACAATTCAATGGCATTAAATACAGTTACAGTGCTACACAGTCATCACCACTACTTCCAGAAAGTTTTCATCTGTTTTCATCTCCAAACAGAATTGTGCCCACTGGGCAGTAGTCCCCCTTGTCCCCTCAGCCCTAGACTCTGGTGCTCTATTTCTGGCCTGTGACTGTGCCCCTTCTAGTTATCCCACACAAGTGTCTACCCTTAGTCCACTGGCTTATTTGGCTGAGCATGTTTTCACAGCCCGAACACACTGAAGTACAGTTAATATTTTAAAAGTTAAATCACACTGTCATAGGGATACATTTTCTTCATCTGTTCACATGTTGGTAGACATGAGTAATCTTCCCTCGTGATAACTGAATAGTGCTATGTGACATTTGCATACAAGGAACTAAGTCCCTTGTTTTCTTTTTTGAGATGTGAAATACGTGATTTTAAAACAGTCTAGAGTGGAAAAGAGAAATCTAAGAGACTCAAGGCAGTAACTGTTAAGGGTTTAAGTTGGTTTTGTTGTTGTTGTTGTTGGTTTGTTTTTTCTCGTCTTTTTGAGACAAGATCTCCCTGTAGCCCCAGCTGTCCTGGAACTCACTATGTAGACCAGGCTGGCCTTGAACTCACAGAGATCTGCCTGCCTCTGCCTCCTGAGTGCTGAGATTAAAGGCGTGTGCCACCAAAACAAAGCACTGGAACCAGGTGTGATAGGACACACCTTTAATCCCAGCAGAAGTAGGTGGATCTCTGTGAGATGGAAGCCAGCCTGGTCTACATAGCGCCTGGCCAGCTGGAGCTACAGGGAGACTCTGTCTCACAAAACAAAACAAACAACAGCAACAAATGAAAACATGGACCTGTTGCCAGGTGTGGTGATCCACACCTTTAATCAGAGGTAGAGGCAGGCGATCTCTGTGAATTCAAGGCCAGCCTGGTCTACATATCAAGTTCCAGGCCAGCTAGAGCTACAAACAACAACAAAAATGGTCACTGTTTGTTGTCAACTGTGGTCAAACTCATATAACATAGCACGCACCACTCTAAGCATATCTAGAGTCAAGAGTTGTACAACCATGACCCCGACCTAATTTCAGAACATTTCTCTCACCCCAGAAAGAAAATTCTGTGTTCTTCAGGACTGCCCCCCATTTCCCTCCTGCTTCCCATTTACCTATTTTCCCCTCTTTGTGTAGGTATACTTGTGTATTTGTGTGTGTGTGTTCATGTGTGTACAGATGCACATTTGTGTGTATGTGAATGTGTGCTTGTAGAGGCCAGAAGTTAACCTCAGATGTTGTACCTCAGCTGATATGCACCTTGCTTTCTTTGAAACAGGGTCTCTCATTGCTGGAGCTGGCCAAGTAGGCTAAGTCGGCTGATGAGTCTCGGGAATCTACCTGTCCCTGCCTCCCCAGCTCTAGGATTAAAAGTGAGTGCCACCTCACCTGCACCTGGCTTTTTAAAACATGAATTCTAGGGGTTGAAATCAAGTTCTAAAGCTTGCACATCAATCACTTTACTGACTGAGCCACCTCCCCATTTCTCTTCCCCTCATTTGATATGTCAGGTGTGAGCAATTCACAAACATGGATTCATGTAGTATTTGTCTTTCTTCTGCTGACTTCTGTCACTTAGGACATTTTCAAGGTTCACCAGCTTTGTTGTATGAAGAAGTATCTCATTTCTTTTTATGAATAAATAATACCCCATTAATGGACAGAGACCATGTTCCAGCATGAACCTTTCTGGTTTTGGCAGTGCTATTTCTAACTTTCTCCTCTCTAAGGCTCCACCTTGCTGGACCCATGCCATGTCCTCCTCCTTGTCCCACCAGTCTAGCTCCCTGGGCCCCAGCTCTGCTTCTCAGGCTACCCAACCAGAGCTTGTGGTGGCCAATTCCCCACCACCCTGCCCAGCTTCCACCTATATCCCACCATCCAACATGACTCAGAACTAAACTCTGCTGAGGGCCACTTCAGGGCCACCCTGATCACTCTGACACCACTTCATGTCACACGACTTCACTTGGTACTGGGGACACCCTGAGCTCCCCCACAGGGTTTCACAAGGGTCCACACACAAGCCAAGGGTTCCAGGACAGCTTCTTATGTGCAGCTCAGAATGACAGAAACAAGGCTCACCCAGAAAGTCGTCAAAGGAGAACTTGTCATTGTCCCAGATCTGGAAGACCACGTGCGCTGGGATCTTGCTCTCTGTCTTGTCCAGTCTCCAGAAGGCATCCTAACCCAGAAGAGGAGCCAAGAAGCAAGGTTAGAGAGGCTTGTCTAAGGCTACAAACAGGGATGTCTTTCCAGCCTGGAAGGCTACAAAGAAGAGGCTGTGGAGTAGCAGGTCTCTGAGGGTTGCACCCAAGTCAGGTCCTGGAAGAAGACTAAGCCCAGGACCTGGCAGTGCTCAGGGGTGCAATGGTTAGTTCTGTTTGTTGTTGTTTTGCTTTGTTTTGTTTAATATTTTATTATTTTTATTTTGTCTGTGTACATTGCCTGCATGTATGTAAGTGTACCTGTGTCATGCAATGCCCACAGAAGTCAGAAGAGAGTGCCAAATTCCTCTGGAACTGGACTTATGGGTAGTTGTTAGCCACCATGTGGGTTCTAGAAATCAAACCCAGGTCGTCTGCAAGAACAACCAGTGTTTTTAATTACTGAGCCATCTCTCTAGCCCCAAATGTATTCTTTTTTTTCCAGACAGGGTCTCCCTGTAGCCCCAGCTTACTTGGAACTCACTCTGTAGACCAGGCTGGCCTCAATCTTACAGAGATGAGATCTGCCTGTGCTGCCCCTGCCTCCTGAGTGCTGGGACTTAAAGTGTCTAGATCAGGCCGACCTGTGGGCATGTCTTTGGGAGACTGTCTTAACTGTTAACTGAGGAAGGAATACCCAGTCCATTGTGGGTGGCACCGCTCCTTAAGCTGGGCCTTGAACTGTCTTAAGAATGAAGAAAGCAAGCTGAGCAAAGCAACAAGCAGGCTGCATGGGCACATTCATTTCGCTCTGCTCTTGACTGTGTGTGGGATGATGACTAGCTGCTTGAGTGCTTGCCTTGACTTCCCCAAAAGATGGACTATAACCTGAACTTTGTAAGTCAAATAAACCCTTTCTCTCTAAGTTGGTTTTTGTCAGAGTATTTTATCTCAGCAGCAGAAAGGAAACCAGGACAGGGGACCAGTCTAGGACCAGACAGTTCACTTCCCCTAGGCAACTCTTTCGACCTCTGGGTGCTGAAAGTCAAGGTTATCACTCCTATTTCACAGATGGCAAATTAAAGCTTGGAGGAGTTGGAGACCTTTCCCCAAGGTTTACCCTTTAATAATAATAATGGTAATGTCATATTTCCTATGTAGTACCCCTCTACCATGAACCCATTGTCCTTCCAACCTAAAGATGAGACTTCAGGAACCCAAAGCAAGTAGAATGTCCAAGGACAGGACAGGGAGCTGCAAGCTAGAATTCAAACCCAGGCAGTGAAGTTCTAGGGTTCTGCTCTCAGTCCTAAACCGAGTTCTACATATGTGGTCTCTGGGGCATCTGGGCTGGTGGAGACCCTGCACTCTGCTCCAGCTGTCATTGGAATGAGTCAAGACATTCCTGTAAGAATGTAAGGAGCTGGCACAGGACAGGATCCCCAGCTCCTCCCTCCAATCCTCCAGCCCACCTCCACCACCAGAACCTGCAGTGCTGGGTGTCCCCTCCCTTCTGCTGAAGGGAAAGGAGGGCACTTCCCTCCTGGAAGACCTCCAGCATCATCCATGCCAGCTCCTCCTGGAACCACATATTCAAGGGGTATAGGAGTGTGTTGGCCCCCAGGTCCAACCATCCTCAACCTGAAGGATGTTGCTAGACTTCCCTGTTTGCTGTGGCTCTACCTAAGCAAGTGGGACTGAGGAAGCAAGGTAAGGGAAGCTTATCCAAGGCCATAGATAAGTAAGTCTCTCCAGCCTATATATAAGGTTTACACCTGAGCTGGGTCCTAACAGGAAGACTGGAAAGTCCAGGGGCATGTACAGTAAATTCCCGTGGGACACATCTTGAGACCTGGACTCATGTCTCCAGAGACAGGCAGAGAAGTCAAAGCCAAGGAGCCTTGCCAGCTGCAGGAGGAGCTGGCCCCAAATGCCACAGATGGTTAAATCTTCACCATCAATTTCACTGTACTTAAAAATCACCTAGGAGACACACTTCTTGGTGTGTCTGTGAGGGTGTTGTCAGAAAGGTAAGTTAACTAGGAAGGAACACCCATCCTGAACGTTGGTGACACCATCATTCTATAGGTTGGGTTCCCAGACTGAATAGAAAGGGAAAAGGAGGAGGCCAACGACTTCCTCTACTCCCTGATTCCTGGTTCTATGGAGATGTAAGGAGTAGTCACCTAACATTCTCCCACTGTGGAGCCACATCACCATGCCTTCCTAGCATAATGGACTGTCTTCCCATCTTCTCTCCTCCCTTAAGTTGTCTCTATCAGGTGCTCTGTCACAGAAACAAAGAAAATAACTAATGCACCCACTACCCTGGCCTTGCTGCACTGCTGTGAGCACCCCAGTCTCCGCAGTCACAGAGACCCCACCAACTTCCCAAAGGCCACTACTGCCCACAAGGAATGGTCACCACGCACAGTCCCACAGCCTGGGCTGCAGTCTGAGGTGATGAAGGCACACAGGCTATAGTTGGCCCTAGCCAGCCCTCTGTGCCTCCCGCTTCCAGCTGCCTGGCCCAGCCTTCTGCAGGTGCCTCCCTCTTCTAGCCAGCTTTTACGGCCAGCTCCAGGCAGTTGCAAGGCTGCCAGCAGCCTCCATTCCTCAGCAGGCTGGTTTATGGGCTCAGTAATGAGCCAGAGGTTCAAACAGCCCCTGGTGGGAGCAGCTGGACGGGGGCTCAGCCTGGGGAATGAGCCCCCCAGGTCCCAGGCGCTCATTATGCTCCTGGCCTGGGCCCTTTTACTAGCTGTTTATTTACAGGGTGGGGGCCTGCCTGCATGGCAAGCCCCAGTGGGTGTGCTGGGCTCCAGGTGGGGAGCCAGGCAGAACAACCAGCGGTGGTTCAAAACAGCAGGATGAAAGGAGACCTTGTACTTTATGACAGTCTCGTCTGGTTAATGGGGTCCCTGGAGGGCCTGCCTGCCTGCCTGCCAGAGGCCCTGAACCCCATGGCAGAGGGCTGCCTCTGCAGCAAGCTCTGGGATCCTGCAGCCTGTGCAACCTCTGTACCCAGGCATCTCAGGCCTTATCCTTCAAACCAGACTAGCTAATCAGTGCCCCACTCTGGGCATAGTTCCCAGGGTCCCTGCTCCCCAGAGGTGCCTACAGGCTCTGTTGCCCTCCTGGCTGCCTCCAGGCCACCTGGCCTATTTCTAGTTCATTCCTTCCTCTTGGATCATGCCTCCAGCCACGCTCTGTATGGGAACTTGCCCTTCCCTCCTCCCCAACTGGACACCAGTCTTCTTCACCCCTGGACACCACTCTCTCCTCACCCCTGGACACCACTCTCTCCTCTCCACCCCACTTCCTCTGCAGGCTCCTCGTTCTTCCACCAGGCTTTTCCCTGCAGTCTCAGCTCCCTGCTCTGTCTGGATTCCCCCATGGGTCACCCATCTGCCCTTTCTTATGAGGGTCTTCAGATAAGGAGACAAAACTCCATGGGTGCCAGAACAAGACCACCCCAGTTTTACCAGCACCTGTACCTGGGCCCTCAGAACTGCCAGGTAACACTTCTCAGCCACCAATTAGCACTCATTCACCTCACCCCTCCTCCTCTCCCTCCATGTGCATGCATGAATGCATGTGCGTGTGTGTATGTGTGCATAGATGCATGGGTTTGTGTATATGGGTATGTGTGCATGAGTGTGGATATGGGTGCATGTGGATGGGTGTGTGCATGAGTGTGTGTATGCATGGGTGCATATGCATGGGGGATGTATGTGCATGGATGCATGTGTGCTTAGGTGCATGTGTGCAGGGTGTGTGTGTCTCTCATTCTGTCTCAGATCACCTACCACTGTGCCAGATTCTCCCCGTATTTCATAGGAGGAAACAGGAAGCTCCCCTCTGCTGTACCTTGCCACATTCTCACCTGTCACAGGGAAGAGGTGGTGGCCCACCTAATAGTTTCCCCACCTATTCCCAAGCCCTCATAGGGTTCAGTGAGCCCTAGAGTTGGTACGCATAATGCCTTGGCCCTCTCCACTCTGCTCCTGGCCTCCCCCTCCCTGTCCACAGCTGAGGGAGAGGTGCAGCCATATTCGATGCAGCCTCTCATAGTCACAGCATTTGATAGTTAGGGAAAATCCCACACTAAACTCTGCTAGCTGCTCCTGTAGGGTAGGCTTGGTACAGCAAAAACAAGACCACCATCTTAGACCTGTTTTAAATGTGCAGAAATTGGGGCCCAGATAAAGTCTACCCTTTGAGCTGCTGGGAATCCACCCATCTCTGCCTGTCAAAGCCTGGGGGAAAAGATGGGGACAGACAGAGAGGGGCAACACAGAGTCTTATCCAATGACCCTGGGCAGCTGCTAACGCCCCACACTGCTGTGTGTGGGAGGTGAAGTAGCTGGGAACTCAGCCAAGTCCTCCCAGTCCCAGGGCAGGACTGCCCAGGGGGGAGTGCCCAGCTGGGTCCACCTTCTGCCCCTATGATAGCCATGCTGAGTTTCCAGACTCTTCTCCCTCATGCCCCAAGTCCTTCCATCCTCCTTGATATACATGAAGTGGTGAGGCAAGCAGTGGTTATAGAACTTGAACATGGCTACATGTGATAGGTGTGCACTGTGTGGCTGTGCAGTCATCCTGGGAGGCAGCAACACTGGCAATGGAAATACCGGCAGAAAAAGAGGGGTACGGAGATGGTTAGTTGGTGGGTAACTGGGGCAGAGCGGTGGGAGTAGTGATGAGGATGGGGCAGTGACGGTAGTGGTGATGGCTATAAGAGATTGAGTCACAGTAGAAGCCCTCAGCCAGGTGTCCTGGGTCAGGAGGGCCACTCACCTTCTTGGCAACTGTGCAGACTTGCTCAGCCAGCAAGTAGTCAAAGGGGAACACAAACCTCCAGTTGAAGTTGCCTTCACCACCCAGGGAGCGGTAGTGCACGTCGGTCTTCTGCTTGTGTTCTTCAAAGCCCACCATCCAGCTGGCCACACAAGGACAGTTCTCATCAGTTCAAAGCCTGCTAGTCAGCGGGCCATACACATTACAGGACATTTCCTGTCAGACTTCTACCACAGTGGACAACCTCCACTCAGGTCAAATGAGGAGTTACGAAGGTGAGAGAACTTGGTTAACAATTCCCATATGGAATTCTTAGGAAATCTCCACAGGGCCCCAAACACCTGATACAGTAGGACCATCTACTGTCTCAAAAGGTTCCCCAGGGCCTCAGTCCTTGCCGTTTTAACCCAGAGGAATCTGGTGAGGGACGATTCCCAAAGGACAGAGCCCAAGGATGTGACATCCTCCATGGAAGGGTACCATCTCCATCCCCACAGCGTAGTTCTGCCTGGGGGGAACCCCCCATGAAAACCCCCCTCAGGGAGTTGGGGAGGCCTGCCCAGGCAGAAGATAATGGTGTCCCACCCTTTCACGTAGATGTCACTCATCTTCTCCCCTGTGAGGCTGAGGTCATCCAGGATCACATCTTTTGTGTTCCAGATAATACAACGCAGGAAAAACCTGGAGGGCAGGGGTAAAATGACTCAAATCTGCATAGAGGTTCCACCAAGGGATGTTCCTTCCCCAGCTGAATGACCAACTCATCTGAGGAGTCCTTCTGCCTGCCTGGCTGGACACTTAGCCAGACCCAAACAAGCTATCCAATGGGCAACCTTCTTCCCCCTCGCCCAGACTATGACTCTCCTGCCTCCAGCCCAGCTGGAGCATGTGGGTGGGCCCCTCACTTTCTGGCTTTCCGAGGGGTGATGTTGAAGGGAGGTCCAGGCCGGCCCAGTGCCTTTGGAAATAGGTCGATCCACATCTGCAGCTTCCCCTGTGGAGACATGAATTATTCTTTCTCTGCCACCCTCTCATTGTGCCCTCAGTTAATACACACCTGCCTTGTGCACACACATGGGGAGCACCCCAGCCAGGCAGAGGCTCAGCACCCAGGAGGGGAGGGACCCTAAACAAACCCTCAGAGACTGATGTGTGAGCCAAGGCTCAGTGTGCAGAGGATGGCATATGCAATGTTACAGAGGGCCAGGGAACGTGGTTTAGCCACAAGGGCTCAGGTCTCCACCTAAGAAGCTATTCTCCCTATTCCTTCCTCCCTACAAGTCCAGGCAATTTTTGTCCCTTCTTTAAAGAGCAAGACTTGAAATAACTTGGTTCAGCCGCATCTGCAGGGTCACAGGGCTAGAGTTCAGGGAGGAGGTTGAACTTGGGCTGCTTTGGGAGACTGGGAGCCAGGCCACCCAGGGAAGAACCTCCTTCTCCTGAAGGCATCCTGAGAGCTCCCCCTGGCCTTTCTCAGGCCTGGACCTTTACTCCTCTTCTCATCATTCCTGAGCCTGGCTGTGAGTCTTCTGCTCACCTCCTTTCTGAAGAAGAGGTTCCTGCCCTCCTGCTGACTGCCTTCTGTGGCCTCTGCCTTCTGCCTTAGAGTGCTTAGATCCTGTCTGAATCCCCCACTACTGCCCAGGGACTGAGCCACCCACAGTAGGAGAGGCAGAGGGCACCCTGAGGCCAGGGTGAAACAGTGAGGGTTCAGAAACCCAGACAAGTCAGAGGCCAGGCCTACATGAGGCTAAAGCAAGTGCCAGCATTGATCCCCAGGCACTAAGGGCTGGAAGTGGGCAGGAAGACCAGGTCCTGAGAGCCTGGGTAGGTGAACTGTGACAACTACTCTGTGAAGAAATGGGCGACAGAGGGAGTGACCAAATCCCAAAGACCTAAATGGGGCCTCTGGCTGTTATAATTATCCTTGGGGTATGGCTCCATGAGGTTCACAGACTCCAGGACCCAGGGGTGGAGGGCCTACCTGCTCAACATCTGGCTGCAGAGGGCTATAGAGAGGCCTCGACTCCACATGCTCCGGGACCAGGCCTTGTTGCTGAAGGACATGCAGGGCCAGGCGCTCCTCTACTGGACCCAGGTGTGGGTTTGGGAGTCTGCCAGCCTCTGCCCCAGAAAGGATAAAATGCAGCTGAGGGCATGAGAGATTACACAGTAGGGCTGCCCTACCTCTGCAGGTCGAGTGGAACTCCTGGGGACCATGGGGAGTCCCTTACCCCAACAGCCTCATCCCCATGAAGACATGCTGCTCTCATTTTTAGGCCTCTTTTTTCAAGGGAAACTTCAGTGCTCAGGAAGCTTCCCCCGCTTAAAATCCTGATACCCCATTATCACCATTTCTACCAAGTCTCTTCCAGAAAACTCTTGTTTCCCACTCACACAATTCCTCCTTATCTAACAAATCCCATCCACCCACCCATCCTTCACTGCTCCCACAGTAGCCTAAACCCTGAATTGGGCATCTCAGCACCAGTAGAATAATGTTGTGGCTCATGTAAGTTGTTCTATGAATGGCACTAGCCACACTCAGTAACAACAGCAAACACTTCCGTAGTGAAACCACGTGCCACATGCTGCTTACCACACATAGGAGTGTGTCTGTCCTTGTAAGGCCCCTAGGAGCTGAGCGTCATCCCCATTTCCTAGACATGAAGCCTGAAGCCTGAAGAAGCCTTACGCTTGGGTGGCAGGACAGTCGGCATCCTGCTCATTTAGAAAGGGTGAGCACATGCTTCTCCTCCTCTTCCTGATTCCCAGGGACAGCTCCTGACTGTCAGGGGATGACTTGAGGACAGGAACCACGGATGGTGAGAAGCCTTGCCTACCACCCAGCAGGAACTTGGAATCCCTATGCAAGAGGCCTCAATTGGAGGCAGACCCTGAGGCTCATCATCCAGCCAGCCTCACAAGTGGATGAGCTTCAGCGCCAGTGAGAAATGACTCAAAAATAAAGGTGGACAACAACCAGGAAAAGACGCCCAATGCCGATTGGAAGGGGGGTCTTTACATACACACCCTGTGTACACACATACAAGTCCACACAAACACACACACACACACACACACACACACACACAGAGGCATGCACTGAGGTATGCCCATGTTCCCCAGCATAGACTCTCATACACACACAGACACAGACACATGCACACACACTCACATACACATTCATACCCATACACGTGTTCACTCATCAGATCTGCCCTATTAAATCCCTATTTCTTTTTTGCCAAACAGACTGTCAGATGCTATGGCACTGTGCCCAGCTTGCTGGTAACTTTGGGTAAATGGCTAACCAACCTTGGTCTCAATGGACTCATGTGTAAAGTGAGGCAGATGCTGGACCTCAGATTTATGACCTGGTTCCCTAGTCCCAGAGCTAAAACCGCTAGCAGAGCAGTGGGTGCTCCCAAAGGAAATGAGACCCCCACACACACACCAACCAGATGCACATTCCTAATGGCTAAGCCTGGCTCTTGCCCTGGAAGAGTTAAGAACACAGACCTAGGAGAAGGGGTGGGGCATGGGCATCAAAGCTGACATTTCCTTTTATAACCTCAGCACCAGCCCTAACATTAAACATCTCTACAACAAGCAGGAGGTGCAGGGCCAGCTGGGCCTGTAAACACCTCAGAGGAGCTGGAGCTGTTCTGGGTGGGCAATGTGGGTCTGTGGGCATCTCAGACACATGGACAGCATGTGGCAGGGTGTCTCAGCCATCAACATCAGGCAGAGCCAGAGGCAGGGCTAGGGCTGGGGCAAGGCCTGCTAGCTGCCCTCTGGATACTCAGACACATGGGGACTGGTAACGTACACCAAGGTCAAGAAAGTAAGCGAGGACAACTAAGTAGGAGGTGCTCCTCAGAAGTGGCTGTACCCCAAGCTCTGACCAAAGTCTGACCACCAAGGCCAGGAGACAGATCCTCTCAACCTGAACTTTACATCTGCCCCCAATCTTGCCCTCTCTGTTCTAGTTTGCTTTCCTGTTGCTGTGATTACATTCTGGCCAAAAGGAATTTGGGGAGAAGAGGGTTTATTTGGCTTATACTTCCAGTCTACCGCCGAGGAAAGTCAGGGCAGGAACTCAAGCAGGAACTGAAGCATAAACCATGGCAGATGCTGCTTGCTGGCTTGCTCATTGGCTCATGCTCAGCTAGCTTTCTTAGGCACCTCCAGTCCCACCTGCCTAGGGATGGTGGCACCCACAGTGGGCTAAGCCCTCCCACATAAATCATAAATCAAGACAATCCCTCACAGACATGGCCACAGGCCAACCTAATCAAGGAAATTCCTCAGTTGAGGCCTCTCCTCTCAGATGACTCTAAGCTGTGTCGAGGTGAAAATCAAGGCTAACGAGATCACCCTCAGATGGTTCCACTGTGGCCATCTTCACTGGATGGAGGTCCAATCCTGGCTCCACCCTGACCTCTGACCTGCACACAGGTACCCCTTTACCCTGCTGATGTGGGCTGTGTCCACTTGGGCCTTCTGGACAAGAGAAGGACTGATGAGGAAGATGGAGAGCCCACCATGGTGTGGGGTCATGTGGGAGCTCACCTATCTCCTCAATGGTGTATTCTTTATCCTGAAATGTCACACGGTCCGTCCGATACACAGGGGCCTTGACCCTGTGCTGCTGACAGAAGAGGTGGAGGAGCTGGGAGGGGCGGAGCTGGTCTCTCCACTGGTTCGGTCCGGAGCTGAGGCCCAAGTACAAGACAAAGATGAGACACTCCAAAGCCAAAGGCGCAGCAGAGGGGCTTGTGTACCCCCCACAATCACACAGCATCACACAGCATTCACTGTCACAGTTGGCGCCCTTTCTGATAACTCATCAACCCTATTTCACAGAGGAAGAAACCAAGGGCCAAAGAGCAAAGGACTGAAATGCACATGGAATTGGAACTTACACACTTCCAATTTCCTTAGCCAGAGAATCAGACTCAAACTAAGACTGAAGATGCTGGGAGGAAGGTTTTTGCCACAGACAAATTCCCCAAAAGTCACATGACTCCTGCCAGGCCCAGCTGGGCCATGTGTCCTACTGTCTGTCTCCCTTTCTTCTTTCCCTCCCATTTCCCTCTCTCCTTCCAGGTACCTAGTCTACTGCAAACTCTGGTGTGTGTCACAAGGGACTAAATCGTGGCATGATAAAGAGCCAGACATACAGGTTCAAATCCTACCTCTCCCCCCATTCACAAACCTGTTTCTTCATCTACGGAGTAGAAACAACTGAGTCCCCTCAGGATTCAAGAAGAGAACACCTGGCCTGACACTCAGTGCTCAGAATCAGTGCTCAGAATCAGGCCATTAGGAAGCAGGCAACCCTGGGCACTTACACACAGTAGGTCTGTGGGAGCCCACAGCGAGCCCCAAACTTGGACAGCAGCCTGTTTTCCAGGTCAATGACCGTCTCCCCGATCTTCTCATCCTTGGAGAGGAGGTCATAGTCATAGAGTGTGATCTTCAGGTCTTTCTCCAGAGGCAGGGTGCAGGTGAGCTCGAACATCCTACAGGAAGGGCCCATGTCAAGACAACACCCACCAGATGGCATCTTCCCAGTAGGAAGTCAAGGGCAGCAGGATGAGGGCAGGAGATTAAAAGTCATCCTAGGGAAGCCGCCCTCCCTGAATCTCCTTTGCTTCCATGGCAAGACACCAACAGTGCAGCTATACTGGACATGCCCAAATGTGTGTGTGAGAGAGAGCATGTGCATATGTAAATGCATGTCAGGTTTTCCCAAACTGAGCTGGGCACATGGTAGTATGCCTGTTTGGGACCCCTGAATGAATGAATGAACAAATGAATGAATGAAATGGAACACCACATTGATAATCTAAGTTTCCACCATAGCATCAGGAGACAGAGCTGTGAAATCTAAAATTGAGGGGATGCCCAGACCTACTCTCAGGATTCCTGAGGCTGCACATCAATTTCCAGGATGAAATGGAAGGTTTGTGAAAAGGTTGGGAGAGATCCATTCCAGAGTCTGCATTCCCCACTCCTACACCAAGCCATCTCAGGGGTCAGTGTGGAAGTATTCTCCCTCCACCCCTGGGAATAGGTTCCCTCCAGGTGGAAGACACAAGCCTGCTGGCCAACTCGAGCTCAGGGTGGCTCAAGTAGCAGGGGGCAGGCAGGATCACATTTGAGAAAAGTTACTATCCCATCCAGGTGCACACATCCTATGGCGGGGTCACCTTAAGGCCTAAAGCTGCTCAGTCCTACCCCATGGGATCTCACAGTGTTCCAACAACCAAACACTGTGGTATCTAGGGATGGGGAAAGGTGGCTTGCTGAAGTGGTGCAGCATCAGAAGAGTCTCTAGGAACTTCTGGAAAGCACTGTCAGAAGAAGAAATCAGCTTGAAATGTCTGCCTCCCTCCCAAAAAGTGGCTGGATAACAGAAGCAAGTGGCCCATGGAATGGACATTTCCCCCAGATGAGGTCCCCGAACTCTACCTCTGCAAGGCCACTGGCAGGCCAGAGTGGGGAGAGGGACATTTGCTGAACAAGCAAGGGAGGCAGCAGATTCCCCTCCCTTCTACACTCACACACCATGCATGCCTAATTGCCCAAGCCAGCCAGGAACAGGGTGCTCCCTACAGCCATCAAGCCATAGTGCTCACTCCTGCTCACCATTGCACACGAATGCATGCACACACACAAATGGGCAGCATGGCTTCACACCTGAGACTGTGCAATTGTGACTTATAAAGTGGCTGAGATTAAAGTAGGCAGAGCCTGCCTGTCACACTGGGGGAGAGGGAAGGTCACCCCACAGAATAAGTGGGTTTGCAGGCCACCAGCAGATAAGAACACAGTGTCTACCATGATGTAAGAGATCACCAAGCCCCAGCTATTCAACTTTGGACTGTGATTTGGGTGAGATGGGGAGTGAACAGGAGTGGGAGGGGTGTGTTTATGTACACACACACACACACACACACACACACACACACCATATTCATTCCCTGCCCATCACCACTGGACCATGGCCCTGTGTCCAGCCATCAGAGTTCAACAAACAGCTTTTCTCTCCACCCTCCATCCTCTCCCTAACCAGAGCTTGGCAGTGACAAACTGCTGGCTGGAACTCTCTCCCTCTCTCCATAAAAGCTGCAGGTGAAGTGACCCCAACTGAGCAAACAGATGTCAACATATGGATTTAATGTGTTACTTGCTATATGGGAACAGCAGGCTTCTTCAGGTGCTAAAGAAAGAGCCATGGGACTCCCTCACCTCAAAATGTTCATAATCAAACCACAACTCAGGCTCCCTGGAGATACATACACACACACCATAGCACTGAGCTCCCTCCCCTTGCTCTTAGAGTCCCAGTATTTCCTGGCTATCTTGGGTCTACCTGTATCCCCTAGCTATCTACCACAGAAGAATGTGGAATATTGAAAGAGTAACTGCTGTTGGCATCTGGAATGGATGGGGACATGGTAGAAAACTGAAGTCCTCAGAGAGTCTACTAGCTAATCATAACACACCAATGTCAAAGTCCTTGTTTAGGAAAGTGTCCCATGGTCAGCTAAGATATTAATAGGGAGAATGAGGTGAAGGGCATACGAGAACTCCATACTATAAAAAAAATTAACAAAGTTTTCTTCTGAGCTCTCATATAACTCTCTGGTCTTTTGAGATAACTGGCCACTCTCCCCCAAAACCAGGCCACTTCTTACTTACTTTCCAAATACAGGCTCCAGGGTACAAGGGATGTAGTTATCCTGGTCACTCACTGATTTCTTCCCAATGGAGATCTTGATGTAAGGGTCACACTGTAGGACACAAAATGCACAAGTGAAATCACTCGGCCAAGGTGTCTTTGGGGCTTCTTTGAGTCCCCTGGCTTCCAATGGCCATCAGGAAGCTGAGATATGGATTGTGTCCTGTCAGGTTGGGGTCTACCCTCCATACCATATTTCATTCTGTCCCACCACATGGTCCAAAAGTGCTTCTAGCCTCATCCCTGGCAATGGAAAGGGTACCTGATTACCCAATATTCCTAACCCACTAGTATACAGGATGAGGGGGAGGTGGGTGTGGTTACACACAAGACCATATTCCATAGGCAGGTTGGGATCCTCTCTAGCTCCAAATCACCTGTTTCCAAAGATGGAAAGGGACAGAGCCATATTTTGTCCACCTAAACAGCCTGGACCTGTCTTCTGGATGCTACCTCTGAGCAGGAGCAGACTTTTGGTCCTCCTACAGGAGTATCTGGTGCTAAAGAGGAACCAGGGTCATCCCAGCTCTATGAAGACTTGAAGAATATAAGCCAAGATGCCAACTAGCTCCTGGAGGCCATCTGTGCTGCCCTGACTGAGCACCTCTCCACATGCCCAGAATCATGTGACTTCTCAGCGTTGAAAGGCAGGTTCACAGGGCCCATCACCTTAAGGTCACACATGAGGCCTGAATCTGTCCAAGGGGACAAGAAAGGACCCCAGGCTTGCACCTCTGACTCTAATTGCCCCACTCCTGCCTCTCTGCTTCCCTTTCTTCCTTTCCAACTCTTCTCTGTCCCGTGACTTCTCTCTCCTTCAGATCCCCCTCTTTCAGCTCTATCCAGGGCTAGGATGAACACTGTCTCTTGCTTCAGACATAAAATTTAAGAGAAGATCTAAAAATCTCAGTATCAATATAAACAATATTTTAATGCAGGATTTTAAACATTAAAAATCAGTACCAATAGTCCGTGACAAATAGACCATTTTAAGTAAAGACAAGGTAAGTATTGCTAGCTTCCCTCTTGCCTCTAGGTCCCCACATCCAGCACAGCAGTCAGTCACCAGTCCTGTGCCTCCAGTCCCTGTACTCCTTCTTACCTAGCACTGAAATCCTACAGAGTCCCAACCCAGCCTGAATCTCCCATTCAAGTTTCCCATGTGCCATAGCCCAGTTTTATCTGTAAATAAAGCAGTCTTCTTTTAAACCTTCAGCCCCCTCTTAAAATCCTATTTTCTTCTTCCTTCTAGCCTACCAAAACCCATGTGCTCTTAAGAATCTTACTCCTTCCTGCAGATCTTCCCCCATTTTTCAGTCCTGAACTGACTGTGGTCTTCCCTGACATCCCAGAGCTCTGGATCCCAAATAAAACTTCACCTAGCCCCCTCTCAGCTCTGTACCCATCTTTGGGTTCCCTAACTTGCTGTGACCTTCCTGGGGCAGATATTGTGTCTGCCGTCCTCAGGTCATTTGTACCCTAGCCTGTTATTCTTAGGGAACCAAGGGCCCTAAGAATGTTACCTTCCCATTGGGGTCCTTGGGTTGTAGGCCAAATGCTCGGACAATGTAGATACGAACCAAGCATTCCTGGGGGCTCTGAGCAGCCAGCTGGTGGAACTGTCTTGGAGGCATGGGGATGGCTGGGTCTTCTGGGAGGGAATAAATTTTGAAGAGACCCTAAAAGAAATAAGTTTATTTTTTACCATCATTGTTAGTAATATAGTAATCAATATGGCCATTACTCTCATCTCTGTGAGAGTCATCACTATGGAAATTATCCAGTCCACACTATCCCATACCACCATCCAGTTCTGCATCACCCACAGGGCCACTATCATCAGCACCATGATTACTACTATAGTTGCTACCATCACCTAGTTCATTTATTGCTGCAAGGTCATGATGGCAGGCTAACCCAGGGACTTACCTTAAATTCCCCAATGACAGATGGATCTTCTGTCTCCTCCTGAGTCTTCCCCCGGTAGAGCTTAAAGGTGTTACAAAAGTCAGACAGGCCCCCAAAAGCTTCCACATTCTCCAGTTGTGTGTCATAGACCTGTCACATGTGGGGATGAGAAAAGAGGACAGGGGAGGGCAAAGGAAGGGAAGCAGGACAGTGCAAGTGAAGAAAAAGAGAAGGGACAGAGAAGAAGGTGAAGGGGACCAGAAGTAAATAATGAAAAAAAAGCAGAAAGAAAGGAGTGTCACAGAGGTGGAAGAAGCAAGGCCAAGGGGGAAAAGAGAAGAGAGAGAGCCCAGGGTGGAGTGAAAAACGCAGGGGAGACGGTGGGAGAGAAAAACATCCGTTAGTCTATTAGGGTATAGGATTTCAGGTTCATCACATTTTCTAGGTATCCAAGACTCACAAGATGGCGTTTTTTAAAAAAGAGATTAAGATCACAAGCAAATGAAAACTTAACGTTCTATTTGAAGACTGAGTCAGAACTCTGCTAAATCATCAGGTCAACACTTCAAGCAAGACTGCTCACCATTCAGAAGCCCAACACGGTGATACAGAATGCCAAGCCGAGGAACCCGAGCAGCACTAAATTTGTTAAATGTCCTTCCTTGTCTCCTCTCGGCCCATGATTGCTACTTATTAGAGCAGAGCTTGGGATTGCTTACAGCTAAATAAAACAGCCATTTTTGTTACAGATGATACATCTAATTTTTTAGGAATGTGAGACAAGTGGACCTGCTAAATTGACTATATCTAAAATTAACAGGGTACCAGTGAGACAGCTCAGCACATAGAGTCATTTGTCACTGAGCCTGATAACCTGACTTTAATCCCCAGGACCCACATAGTGGAAGGAAAGAATTAACTCCTGCAAGTTGTCCTGATTTCCATATGCATGCTGGGGTATGAATGTTCACACACATACACAAAAAAATAAATTAATAAACAATTTTTAAATAAAGTTTTAAAATTAAATTAAAAGGCAATTAACTCACTAATTTAAGTTTCCCATTTCTCTATTATTTCTCATTTAAGCCTTGTTCAAGTTCCATCTCTTCTAAGAAATATTTAATTACACAAATGATATAGGTTTATTGTTAAAATTAGGACTCATAAACAAATATAAAAAAATATTAGGGGCTGGGGACATGCCTCAGTGGTTAAAGTGTTGGCTTCACAACCATGCAGACGGGAGTTCAGATCCCTAGAACCCATGTAAATGCCAGATTGGTGTGGTAGCCCACCTGTAATTATGGCCAGCAACACTAGTCATATCAAAGAGTTTTGGGTTTGACTGAGAGGCCCTGCTTCAATGAATAAGGTGGAAGAGTGATCAAGGCTGATTCCCAACAGCAACCTTGGGCTGTCACATGCACATGTATACATGTGCTCCTTCACACACAACATACATACATACATACTTATATGCACATGAAAATGGAAAAAGAGAAAAGAAGAAAACAATATTTTCTTAAAATCTGATCTCCCCAAATATCAACTAGCCATCTGATTAACAATTAGTGCTGTTCTTTTGAATTTTCTTGATGTGCATTCTTAAGTCTGTGTTTTGTTTTTCTACTGAAATGAAATTGTTAAGATACAAACCGGTTATACTTTGTTTCTTCACCAAACTATATAAGTTGAATACCTTTATAATCAAAATAATGTAGTTATATAACATCCTTCACAATGGAAACATAATAATGTATAAATGTATCATAATTTATGATCAACAATTACTTTCATTAAGTAACAAGTTTTTTTTTAACTCCTGAATGTGTGCTATCTATATTTATTTAAATTTGTTTCTACAGGGACTGAGATGGTTCAGTTAGTAAAGTGCTTGCCACACAAGCATGAAGACTTGAGCTTACTCCTCCAAATTCACATAAAAAAGCTAGGCATATTAATGCACACTTACAATACAGCTGGGTAGGCCAGGACAGCAGATGCCTGGGACTCTCTAGGTAGCCAATCTAATCTAACTGGCAAGCTCTGGGTCCCAGTGAGACACCTTGCTTCCAAAAACAATATGGATGGCCACCTGAGGAACAACACACAATGTTGACCCCTGGACTCTCCACATGCATGCAAAACACATACATCACACATCCACACACATGTACACATACAAACACATGTATACATACACACACAATTTTATCTCTGTGATAACTTTCTAAAAACAGAATTCCTGGTCAGAAGAATGGTCAGAGCATTCCTTTGATATACACAGATGCATTGCATTCTAGAAAAATTGAATGGACTGACATCCATCTATGGTGTGCAGCCATGTCCGTGTCCCTAAGTCCTTTACCATTACTCTGCATTTTCATCTTGCTAATTTAACACATGGAAGATGAAGACAGCACACTGAATTTTAACTCGCATTTGTTTGACTATCAAAGAAAACTATGCGGGCTTCTCACCACTTGTGCTCTTCCTATAAGAATCTCTCATCTTTGTTATTCCTGTTTCCAACTCCTGGGTCTTTTTTCTGTTCTGCAGTGACTTGAAGCTCTCCTTGTATATAAAAGATATTAAGCTCTAGCCTATCAAATACCTTACAAGTATTTTATCTCAGTCAGCCACTTGTCTTTCAATTAGGCTAATGATATATTTGTGAAATTCTGTTTATGGTGTGTTTATGTGTTTGTTTACAAGAGACTCATGTTATGTTCCATTTATCAATTTTCAGCCATCCCAGATATTTCTAGATGACCTCATCTAACAATCTTTTTCTTTATAGCTTATATATTTCAAATTATGTTTAGAATGTCTTCATAGCAAGATGAAGCACTCAACATGTGTTATGAGGCAATAATTCACCAGATAGCTAAGCGATCATCCAAGCACTGGGTTTGCTGGGATTTCTCCTCTCCCCAGTGACTTGTGCCATGCACTAAAGGTTTACACAGCTGCTGTTTGTGATATTTTCTACTTTTCTTTTCACCTGTCCGTTCTCACCAACCCCGTTTTAATTACGCTGCTTCATAACCTGTTTTGTCACCTGACATCTTTCTAGATGAAACTGTGAAACACGAAGTCCTCTTTTGAGCAATTTTTGGGGAGGGGGATTTTATTTTAGATTTATATTAAAGTTAAATTTTAATTTTGGATCACGACATTGACCCCTTGGGGCTGGAGAGATGGTTCCACAGTTAAGAGCACTGGCTCTTCTTGCAGAGGACCTAGGTTTGGTTCCCAGCAGCCACATGGCAGCCAACAACTGTCCATAACTCCAATTCCAGGGGATCTGACACCCTCTTCTGACCTCCGTGGGCATGCATGACATAGGTGCAGTTACATACATGTAGGCAAAACACTCATACATATAAAATTAAAATAATAAATAAAATATTTAAAAAGAAATTGACCTCTATACAGTATTAGCATTCTCTCTCTCCCTCCCTCCCTTCCTTCCTTTCTCCCTCCCTCCCTTCCTTCCTTTCTCCCTCCCTCCCTTCCTTCCTTTCTCCCTCCCTCCCTTCCTTCCTTTCTCCCTCCCTCCCTCTGTGTCTGTGCACTCAGGCGCATGTGCCTGCCTCAGGAGCTGCCCATCTCATTTTTCAAGAGAGTGTCCCTCACTGGCCCAAAACTCACCAATTAGGCTAGGCTGGCTAGCAAGTTTCAAGATCATTGTTTCTCTACCTCTTCAGCACTGGGCTTACAAGCACACATCACCCCGCCCAGCATTTTTACTTAGGTTCTGGGGGGCCTAACTCATATCTTTGTACTTATGAGGCAAACACTTTACTTTCTGGGCCATCTCCCTATTCCAGCATTAACTTTTTATCCAGGAATATGGGCTGATGCTCAGCAGCTCCAGACTTACCTGTTTGCCAACATCCTTACACAGAACCAGCTCATCTGTCATTTGCCTTAACTGGTTAAGATAAAGCTTTGTTAGCATTGTGCATGTGGATCTCTGTTTGACTGGGTTTTCTAAATACTTGCTGCCATCTTCCTGGGTTTTCCTCCCAACAGCTCTAAACTTTAGTTGACTCTCTACAGGCGGTTGAGTATATCAGTCATGCATATGATCATAATCATTTTAATCTCTGCTTTTCTAAAATGAAAGGCATATTTCTTCTGATTGACATGGCAATGATCAGAACACACAGAGCAATGTCAAGTGTTAATGTGGATGTCTCCTATCTTTGTCAAAAGAAACAACTCAACCCTAAGTTGACCTCTGTCCCTTAACATATATTGACTCACAGAGCTCTTCAGTAAACCCTGTCAACAAGATGTAGAACTCCTCCTCAACAAACTCACTTATTAGCACTTGAGAAATGGTGGTCCCTGAATGTGGGTGGCGTCATCCCATGGTCTGGGGTCCCAGACTGAGTGAGAAGTGGAACAGAGAAAGCCGACTGAACAGCAGCGTTCACCTCTCCCTGCTCCCTGACTGTGGACTCAACGTGACCGGCCACCTCACCCTCCTGTAGCCATGATTTTCCTAATGTGATGGACTGTATCCCCAACCCTTCATTCTTTAAGTTGCTTTTTTCAGGGGATCTGTTGAAGTCACAAATCAGATGTTGATCAAGAGATATGCTTTATTACATTATGGAAGCTCCTTCCTATTTCTAAAATGTGAGTCCTCCACAGATACTGAATTTTACCAACCGCTTTTCAGCATCTATTGGAGGAGACTTTGCTAATCTAACCTGTCAATATGGTGACTATCATTAATGATTTCTTAATGTTGAATTCTTTATATTTCTGGAATGACATTAATTTAGCTCTTGTGGCATATTAATATGTGACTCAATTCCATGTGCTATTAAGATTTTGCACACAGACTCATCTCATAAATGAAATTTATATGGGTGGGCTCACAGGTTTTAGTGGTAAGGTGACTCTAGCTCTATAAAAGGAGGGACTGGGAATACAGCTCAGTGGTAGAGGGCTTGCCTACCATATGTGAGGCCACAAGTTCAATTCCCAGCCCTGCAAAAGGGGGATGGTAGGGCAAGATGGCTCAGCCAGTAAAGGCTCTTGCCACCAAGCCTGAAAACCTGAGTTCAATCCTCAGGTCCCACAGGGTGGAAGGAGAAAACCGACTCCTCCAGGCCATGGCACATGACGGC